ATTTTTTATTTCTGCAGCCTTTGTTCAAAAGGCATATTTCTATATGTAATTGTGAATTGTATAGGAGCAGTCTAATCTTTCCCTGATTTGTTGATTCTAGGAAGGATATGAATAAATTGATGGCAGAAACTTTTGGAAATTAATATTTACATGCATATGAGTCTATTTGTGCCCAATTTGGGCCCTACATTTCATCACAATTTACCTCAAGGTCAAAGAACTTCAGAAAATCCAACTTCTGTATATAATCCACAATTACATATAAAAATACTGCCCATAGACAAAGGCTGTAGGGAACAGAGATGTGGAGAAACATAGTGCTGAAAATATTATCAAATTTAATGTATATGTATATTGACAAATATTGAAGATATTCAGGATCCAAGTCTTATGTATAGTACAAAAATAGTATTTTTTATCCGTGATTTTTTTTTCAAACCTCAATAACTCAGTCAATTTACAGTAGTTTTAAAAAACCTTGTCAAAAAAATTTTCTTGAGCTAGGGGCCCAAGCTCGGTGGTCAAGCACTTTTAATTAAAAGTGTGCCAAAGCAAAACACAAAGCAAGACCACAGTAAAAAAAAGTGAGAAGGGATTGCGCGAGTATCCTACTTGCAAGAGATATCCGAAGCCACAAGGGGCTCAGCTTGATTCCCAAGCCGGATGATCCCCAAACCACCATCCAAACCACCATCAGCACCATGTTCCCCTTGCTCTACCAACACAATCTCCTCCATCATGGTCTACCAAAAGTACTGCGCGGCAATCAAAACTATTGCCATTCGATTGCTCCTTGAAGGACAGACAGAGGACCACGTTCGAGATGTACTCGGGGAAACCATTTCACATCGCTCTTTCCAACGCTGGATGGCCCTGTACGAGTCAACCATGCGAGTCATTCGCAATCCTAAAGATTACGCACAATGTGGGCGACCAAGAAGCCTGAATGAAGAGGATCAAGAGTTCATCACTTTGTTGGTAGCAGATCAACCCCAACTGTTTCTGGACGAGATTCGAGAACAACTCTATGATTCGCAAGGCAAACTTCCATCCCTTGAAACAATTCATAACGAGCTCAACCATCGACTACACCTTACTCTCAAGAAAGCTCATACATCACATGTTCGCAAAGACTTCTACAAGCGGGCATGCTTCATTGAGAAGATGGAAAACATCCCTGCCAAAGCCTTGGTATTCACAGGTCTGTTGTTTAAATTCATCTCTCACTCTTTACATAACCTCAACTGACATTATTTCAAAGACGAGAGTTCCATCTGTGAAAGGGACCTAATGCGAGTATTTGGGCGTTCACCATCGGGGAAACGTGTGACTAGATGGATCAAACGCAGTAATGCCAAGAGGTATTCACTTCTACCTGCAATTGGGTTGAATGGGATGCTGGCGATGACGGTTCGCGAGGGTAGCATCAATCGACAACGATTTGAAACTTTCCTCGAGTTTCAGCTTGTAAGTCATCAATTTTTCTATTGTACATGTCTTGTTTGCTAATGTCTTTTTTCTGGAAAAGCTCCCCGCAATGAATCCTTATCCTGCGGTCAATAGTGTCCTTGTTATGGATAACGCTAGAATTCACCATGGCAGTCGCATAGCAGAGCTTTGTGAAGAGCGAGGTACGTGCTCAATGGGTGATATCTCTTCCTAACTGAACTTCTGTCTCTTTCATATGGGCTGCTTCTAGGTGTTCGACTTGTTTATCTGCCACCTTATTGCCCCGAACTCAACCCCATTGAGATGGTCTTTTCAGTAATCAAATCCCGATTCAAACGAAACGGAATTCTTGAACTCTCGGTCGACGATTTAGACATGGTCATACGTGATCACGCTGAAGAATGTGTCACTCCATCATTATTAGCACGTTTATATTTTAGTTGTGGCTATGATTTACCACCGGAGTACTATCACTTTCATAACAATGAGGGTTATGAAGATGAGGATTATGAAGATGAAGATTACAAAGATGAGAATGATGACGAAGATGGGGATGAGGATGATGAGGATGAAGATGATTATGACTATGATTACGAGGAGGAGGAGGATTACGATGACCATTTTGGATACTGAAAAGTTTCCAAGTCCAAATTTCACCAAAAACACATCAATCTGATCGATCTCAAGGACTCTTATCATCAAATCGATCCATCCTTTCAATTTATACTAATCTTTCAATCTTACTTCTTTATCTTTTGTAACTGACTATCACTATCAAATCAAATTGATCAAATGGCGAATCATCAATCAAATCGATCAATTAAACCATCTCATTGAATCATCATCATCATCAAACCAACGATGAGAAAGAAGAAATCAATGGAATTGCCTTCAAAGTCAGACCGTTCCTTCCATATCACAACCACAGCCTTGATTGTTTAGCCAACACTCAAAACTTACTCGAAGCCAGACCCTTCCTTCTTTATCACAACCACAGCCTCGAAGACCTACTTTGATTTACAAGATCGATTGTTTAGACGATCTTTACTTCGTGAGGCCAAGATCGCACCGTCAACTCACTCTACTCCTGTCCATCAGGGTCATCTTCATAACGCTTCTGAGATTTGGGAAGCCGCACTGGTTGGTACTCCTCTTGAACCAAGGGGTATGCCACCACCCAGTTGGCAAACTTACATCCATACTCGAAGTGAAGAACAAGTTCATCATCATCGTGGAGCTTCAACTAGCAGTAACATGTCATTGTATCATCACTCCAGTTCGTCACACGGATTCAGTGCGTCTCGAATCACTGCATCCGATTCAAATGCCGATGAACCGATTGTTACAAAAGCTTCGTTGGTGCGATTATGTACTTTTTTCTTCTCTTTTGTACCATTGTCCGATAGTCTAAAGACTAATGCACAAATATAAGCCTCTTTGTATATTGTTTGTGTAAACAAACCTTCAATACAAAGCAATGAGATACAAATGGTCTTGATGCGAATACAAAAGATCTTGATTGTGATACAGAAACTGGGAGAAAGAGCCAAAATAGAAAAATGAACAAATCTTCATAAGCAGCAATAGTTGACATGCAAATGGACTCGATTCAAATACTAAAGAGAACTCGATTGTCATACAAAAAAATGAGTAGAGAAGATGCAAGACTGTTCAGCATAAAACAAATAACTTCATTGTGATACAAAAGTTTTAAGTTGAATCAATGACTTCATTCGGTACTTGACTTCAGGACCATGTCAAAATGTTTCACATTATCTAAAAGTTTGCTGATAACCCCCAATCAAAAACATGGATCGAGACTTTTAAGATCATCCTTGGTTATTGATCCTCCACTGAATTGGTGATAATCGGTGATATCCTCGCGAGTGAGCGCTTTCAAGACTTCGGGATCATCGATCTTGACAAACTCGATGTATTTCTCCATTTTAGCGGTTGGACGTTCCAAAAATGAACCTGCTGGGCGAAGTCGTTTGTTTCTGATCTCGGAAAGACCGTCAACATACCCGTGACAGTGCTTTGGAGTGCGGCTTGGAGGTGGGGTAGCCGTCACGGCCGTCCACAAATCACGAGGAGGGTTGAGAGGGCATATTCCATGAATATTAGGATCAAGCTAAAGCAAATCAAAAGGTGTCAGCAGTCTGTCATCAAAGGTACAGTGAAATGGATTTACTATCGCCCGCGCCCATTTGATTGCGTGAACCCTGGTAAGCAAGACATATTGTTTGAAGTTCTCTTTGGGGACCCAATAGATGTGGATTTGTCAATCAATTCTAGGGTCAAGTTTGCCTTGCTTGAGTAACCTGGATACCATGGCATCATGTGCATGGACATCGTCTTGATCTCCATGGACCTGTAGTGAAAGAAAGCAAAAGTCTCAGTCATTGATAGCATCAGGTGCCACCTTAAGACAATGAACTCACCCTTTCGACTGATTGTCCGTCACTGGTGCATATCTTTCGAGAAGCCCTTTCAAAAACTTCAGTCTACATCACAACAAATGTCAGCTACAGCAGTGAAGAAACTGAAGAATATGCAATCACTTACCGACTCTAATTGAGCAGCCTGAGAAATTGGCTTCTCCATCTTAATGGTAAGCAGTGCTCGCTTTCCAGAAAATTGGAGAGCCTTTCGAGCCCAATCCTGAAAGGTAGACTCAGTACTAAGAGGCTTATTGAGGCTTTTCAAATATTCAGGAACCTTAGCAATCGAGCCCAGCCATTTGATGTTGAGAGGATGTGAGGGAGATTTCCGATCAGCCAGGATCATAGTCCCCACACCAGGTCGATCAGTGTTGCTAGCTTCAGTAACAAGGGTGGTGAATGCCTCCAAGGTTGTCACTTTGGGGATGACTCGAACAGTAAAAGATCGTTGATTGCTATAAGGCTTCCAGACGTGCTTTTTGTCGTTCCCCGCATCACAATAGATGTGATACTCAACCGCGCAGTCGAATTTGTTGCCGTTGTTTTCCATTGGGCTGAAGCAATCAGATGTCAAAAGACTGGATCAGAAGGCTGAGAATCAGATTTGAACTCACAAGTGTGCCTGAATCAGTGTGTGGTGCTGAAAGAAGGGGAATGCAGTGCTGATGGTGGTTTGGGGATCATCCGGCTTGGGAATCAAGCTGAGCCCCTTGTGGCTTCGGATATCTCTTGCGAGTAGGATACTCGCGCAAACCCTTCTCACTTTTTTTTACTGTGGTCTTGCTTTGTGTTTTGCTTTGGCACACTTTTAATTAAAAGTGCTTGACCACCGAGCTTGGGCCCCTAGCTCAAGAAAAAATTTTTGACAAGGTTTTTTAAAACTACTGTAGATTACTATGGAAACTTGTTATTACTATATAGACTTGATATTACTATATAAACTTGTTATGAGTATCAAATTTAAGACAGGTTTTTATGAGAGAGATAGACAAATAATTCACAGATTGTAGTGCTAAAGGCTACACACCACGCGTCTATCAAAATGAAAGTGGGAAATGTGGGACCGATGTGAAAGAGACAAAGTGGATGTTAGTTCTTTACCGCTTAGCCTTAAACGCTTTTGAGGATTAACTCCTTCATCACTCGTGCACCCGTGACAATTGAAAGGCTCTGGATTTCATCTGGTACCTTCTTCTTGTACTTCTCCTCTAAGACTTTTCGGTTGTGACTGCTGATCATCAGGATATAACCAACCATCATACAAAGCTGATTGTCGTTCTCGATATACAACGGATCCAACATTTTTGAGAAGTGACCATCAAGCTCACGACGCATGTCTCGGAAAGCGTCCATGCAGCGGAGATGAAGGTCGAGGAAGTCGCATCGAAGCCATGGTATTTCGTGCTCGATCATGGCTTTGACCGTCAAGACTTGTCCTACCGTTCCGACTGGCACAACCTTGGCGCTTGAAGAAGTCTTTGTCTTGTCATTGAGCGCCATAAGACACGCCAACATGCGCCCTGCCACATCTGCGGAATCAGTCCCGGACAGCCAATCCTTGAGTATGTCAAGAACCTTTGAGTTCGCAGACCAGTTTCGAGGGCCTTTAGATGACCAACGCACGCCCTTGTTCGATTTGGAGCGGCGAGCGTCAGGGGTGAAATTGGAGAGCGAAGTACCAAGGAGTAGGCTGAAACTAAAGGATCACACCTGACAACGTCAGTTCACACCCACCGAGAGGAATGCAATAGAAGTCAAACTGCGGGACGTACCTTTTGAAACACTCTTCCAGTGTCTGTGGTCTGAATCCAGCAAACAATCTCTCTGGTGTGAAATATGAGATGATCCATTCCATGAGAGGCCATTCCACGTCCAGCGCGCCAGCTTGTCGAAAAGCATTGTATGCATGAGTGGTGTACAGTATAGATCCCCAGGTACAACCTACACTAATTCCCGCATCTTGAGAAAGGGAACGCAAGGCAAGAAGTTCCGTCCCACACAGCAGAGGATGTTGCTTGCGAAGATTGAAGGGTGGACCGGTTTCGATTTCATTGTAAAGTTGCCTGCCAGCAGGTGTCCGACGATCAAGAGTGCCTTTACAGACGATTTTCATTTGAGTCATTGTATCGGCCAACATATATTTCTGTACCACTTGATCTTGTAAGCGATGAAGCGTATCAGTCTGCTTTTTGGGCCACAACTCAAAGTCGGGTACACCTTTTCTTGACGCGAAGAATCGGTCAAGATTAGTGTCTACCTGTTTGGCTGCCTTTTGAAGCTCCTCGAACGGTCGAGTGACTTCTGGACCGAGAATCGAATTAGTGTCCAAAAACACCTGAGTTGCAAAGACTAGCCAGATGGGGATTGCGTTCTTCTTGGTATCGTAGAGTTTGCGGATACCTTTGGTAAATTCATCTTCAAATCGATCGGGCGCTCGACAGTTTTCCAGGATACAAAACTCTGAGAAGAGCTCAATCAAGATGACTCGATCTTGGGCGATGATCTGTCGGAGTGACATCTTGGAACGATCAGCGTTGCGATCATAAACGCCAAAGACACCCGGAATTGACCAGGGAATTTGATTCGGTTGAACAACGTTGCGGATGGACTCAAGTGTACTGTGAGTCGTAAGGCCGAGAAGTTCGCCAACATCGGCCATCTCATGATTATAAACGTCGTTGGCGTCATATCGTACAGTAGGATCCACTCCTCTTTGCAGACAAAGATACAAGTAAATGTGCAGAGAGATATTTTCGCATGTTGGCGGGGAAGGAAGGAGATGTCCAAAAGTGCTGATGAAATCTTTTTCAGTTTGTCGAAGAGCCGCAATTGCCATGTTGGACATGAGCGAAACCGTTTCAAGAGCTATTGTCCCGGCCTTGTATTGCTTCCAGTGATCCCGAACAAGCACTTGGAGTCGGTTCATATCAGTAAAGAGGCAAAAGGTGGCAAAGAAAGCTTCGGCCTTTTCATTCCTGTCTGCCAGCACTGCTTTGGCCTGGATTGCTGGTTTAGGTGGATTAGCCCCATTCCCTACGTTCTTCGGGGCAAGAGTTGGTTTCTGGGTAGTCTCATCCTCGTACTCCAAATCTTCAACGTCTAAGACGTGAAAGTTATTTGTGTTGTGCACAGTTTTCGGAACTTCAGTAGCGGAGGGATCGATTGGAGAAATTTTCGGATTAACCTCTTGGCTCGGCGGGGCCTGCGGTGTGAGGATACGTAGTACACGTTCGAGGATACGGACAAAATAAGCATGTGAAGCATTGCCTTCTTGAACGCCTGGGTTAGACGGGATGTTTTTGGGAGAAGGTCTGGCTGCATGAAGTGCGAGAAAATCCTGGCGAAGGGAGATAGTTTTCTGAAGCTTGGTGATGATCGTCTTGGGAATATTCAACATCTTCTTGGGGTCCTGAGAAATATTTTGAGCTAGTTCCACAAGTTGGTCTACCGCAATCGGAGTTTCTAACACTTTCTTGTTTGGAGCCGCGGATGGAACAGTGTCTTTAGCCAATTTACGCGCCTTTCCTTTCAAACGGCCTGTCCCGCGCGTAGGGGGCTGGGCGGGAGAGGCGTCATGGGCTTCATTGGGAGGGTTGTAACCAGCAGCGTCCATCAACCATTGACAAACATCGCTGGTGTAGCTTTTGTACAGCTGATACGTATTGCTGAACAGCGTGGTGGAGACTGTCATCGCGTCTATCAACGCAACAGATACGTGGGTCAGCGAGTTGATCTGACAATATCGAGGAAGGAAGAAGACATATCCATACACCCACCAGACTAAAATCACACAATAGCAAAAAGCACAGAGAGTTCGAGAGGTTTTCGATAAAGCCGAGATTTACCGCTTCAGCAACTAACGATGAAAGGTGATTAGTCAGGTCAACAGCTCAATGATCGATGATGGAAGAAAGACAGCTGACCTCTTCTTAGATATATTGATCGTTGAGAGCTAGTTAGCTTGACTGGCTGGGGTACAGCGTAGATGATGTCGAGAGTGAACTTTAGCAATATGGTTTGTCTGTAGAAGTGCCAGAAAGGAATCAAGCACGACCCTGAGATACCCCAGCAGAGGTTACTGACAAAAAAGGTTGCTTAGAAACCAAATTTTGGCGCCATGTTTAATCAAAAGGGTCAGATTTTGACAAATATTCGGAGGTAAAGTGGACCAAAAAGGTCGGAATTGGGGGCACTAGGAGGACCCCTCAGGTGGTGACCAAGTTCTGTCACCGTGATAGAAAACCGTGAGCAAGATGCTGTTCTCATCTGCTTCTCATCTGCTTCTTGTTGTCCTTTGGAGTTGTCTTGTGACACTGGTCTCTGATCCCCCCCTCGAAACACAGAAAAGCTAATAGACTCAGCGGGGTGAATTTACAGCCAAAGTCAGACCTTCCACATCCTAGCTGAGCTCTGATGGCATTCACAATTGGTTATGAAAGTAAACTTCAAATCCTTCATAATAAAACCACCAAAAGTAGATAAGAGGAAAGATGTCGATTTGAACATGATCAGAATGACAAGTCAATCAAACATGGTTCAAGAGAAGATCAATGTCGACCATTGTTCCAAAAGAAGACCAATTGACCATTTGAAAATGGCAAGTAATATTTTTGACAAAGAAAACTAATCAAGCAGAATTTACAAGTTGGCATTTGAAGAAGAGCTCTGATCTCATTGGACTTTCCTATACTGAGGCCGCAGATCAGGTGTATCAGACCAAGAAACCAAGTTCATAAAAAGAATTTGAGCTTAATCTTATGAGGAAGATATAACAAGGTGACTTGCAGCCCAGGTAGCTCACACTCACTGCGCTTGTTCGTGCTGTTGGCAACCAGAATATGGTTCATGCTTGAAGTAATACACTGGTCTTACAAAGGAGTACTGCACATAGGGCCTTCCGGATATCTTCACAAAATGTTACTGACAAAAAGATCAAAATCCTATCAACTTAACAAACTCACTCTGGCGGCGTCCCTCGGAGCCTGTGGAGCAAACACAGGTATATGATTGCTGAGCACTTGAAATTCCATATCATCAGCTAAATTCCACAAGTCTATTCAGTATCTTGACAATGAAATCAACAACCATCACTTCGAGACAAACTTTGGGTTAGTTTATAAACTGCCGGTGTGTTAAATGGAATTATTTATAAAGATGTCTAAAGACCTTGAGAAAGCCATAGATAACCTCAAAGTGGATTCTACTTACCATTAATTCAGTTGTTGATTTGTCTCCCTCTTTTGATAAGGAACTCAATGACTATAACTCCCAGCCCAGAAGGCCCACATCTTATACATAGTATTGTGCTCAATTGGTTTTCTTAGACCAATCTTCTGCCATAAAAACTTGTGCTTGGAAAAAAGTATAGCTGTTACTTCATAGAGTTTTGGGATCAAAATTTATGGTGGTGGATGGTTTTTGATGTCTTATTGCAATACAAGAATTGACTTGAGAATAGGATCTGGAAATTGAATAGAGATAAACAATATAAATCAGAGATGGTGCTATGAATGAAAGTATAGCAAAGCTATTAAGAGGAAAGTGGTAAGTCTGGTACCAGTAAGAGGTTGTATAACAATATGATCTCTTGAATCACTTTTTGCTATTTTTGAATAACCTCAAAGGAGTTGGATTTAAAATTCTCTTAAATTAAGCAACAAAATAACCAAATAATAAAATCTTGAATAAGTAAACTGACCAATAGCACAAGTAAATTTGATTTTGCATCACTTTGAACTATTTTTGAATAAAATCGGTGACATCTAATTCAACAGTCTCTCAAGTAAAGTAAAGGATGGTTGAAACAATAAAATCATAAACTCTATTGAAAAAGAAAACCGAACAATTATACAAGTAGATTTGATCTTACATCTTCTTGTTTTACACAAACATCTAAAAAAATCCCAAGCTTCATATATGAATTTACTCAGTACATTGGACCATTGAGCTTGTGATCCCAATCCTGTCCATGAAGATAAAAAACAAATGAAATCAGCATTGTGGTGCAACAATGTACCTCAAATGTATCAACCAGACTTCAACATACCAAGATTTCATCATAAGTTAGATCAGGCATAAAGTGACACTGAATCCCATGAGACTTAAAGGCTTGTACCAACTGTCTACCATGCCTAGGGACGGTAGTCATATGCTGGAGACCAGTAGTAAAGATGATATGCTCAAAATTAGGAGGTTTTTCAAGAGTACTTTTACCAACGCTACGCAACATGTTTGCCCAATTCTTTTGTGCTGAACCATAGACTGTGACCAGAGTTCGAACGTTCTTGAAGATTGGTAATTGAAGCCATAAAGGAGTTGGTGTGTCAGGATTTGCCTTCCAATAAAGACTACGGACCACACGGAGCTTGGGAAAGTTCCAATCAAGTATAGGAGCTGGAAGGTCACATGGGGTCCGATTTGTAAAAAGACCTTCCAAGGTGTCTTTCAATGGTTCATATAAACTTTCCAAGTCTGCTTCGTGACCAGTTGAGTCATATTCAATCACTTTCACGGTGTTTTTGATATGCTTGCATATGTGAGCAAGTGCATCTGTGCTGGTACCCAATTGAGTAAATAAAAAGTATTTCAAATTTGATAAAGCTTGGGGTTGTAAAGTTAAGACGTCCAGATGACCAACTCGCAATGCCAAAGCTTCTAGGTTTGGAGTAGCGTTGAGCAGATAGGGTAAGGATTCTAAACCGTCATCAAATTCGATCGGTTGCCTATGAAGCCATTCAACAGTCAATGTTTTCAAACCTTTGATTTGTTCAATGGCTTTGATCATATCTGGTGGAAATCCCATCGAATAGGAATCCCCAAATTTCAACTCCATCAAGTTTCGACCGAGGAATTCGATCAATCGTGTAGCCTGATGGATTGAGATTGTAGGGTAATCGAGAATTTCAGACATGTCTTCACCGCGTGACGCCTTTGGTTCAAATAAATTTTCAAAAGCAAGTCGCTTGACTGGTGAAAGATTTGGACCGATCATCAAATTCCTCCAATTTTGAAGTATGGATTCCAACGTGGTTGGGGATCTCACACAGATAGAATGAAGCAAAACAGGTGTAACAGTCTCACACCAATCTTTGCAAACATAGCGTAAATGGAGAAGTTCTTTGATTGTTGACAAGCTAATGAATTGGGTGGAGATGGTGGATGTCCATTCCGCGTCGTCACTCGGTCCCTCAGTTTGGGCGACCAAGAGTTCTATGACGTAAGTTAGCAACTCTTTTGGGAGCGATTGAATGCTTGGTTGAGATGATTGATCGGACATGTTGTATGCGTTCTGTGAAATGGTGAGGGTTTGGGTTGAAAGAAATGAGGACGGACAAAGTTGTTTGACACGAACTGATGGGGAAAACTGCTGAGGAGCATTCGACATAGCTTTCTATTGCCCCTGCTGCGTCACTTTTTGAAAATCAACCTCACTTGCCTTGCCATTTTCGGCCGGTGCTGGATTATTCCACATGCGACTCTCTAAGCCATTGAGAGTACAATAGGACTTGCAAGACGCACGACTGCTTTTCGCGTGCTTTGCTTTTGCCAAGCTTGTTGTATTTATTGTTCTCTTATGACTCTCATCTTTCCAGAACCATGATCCAGTAGACTTGTCATCTGATTGTACCTCTGGAATCTTGTGTTCCAGGTATGAGAAATTGACGAAGAACAATAACTCTTGCCCTACATCAGCGCATGCTCGCAAAAACCCATGCTGTTAGGTAGTATTCGAGATCATCGATCCATCTCGTCTCAAACCCAAATAGGTGATATGTATGGGCTCTAGAAATTGCATGTGATGTCATCGAGCAGTTTCATGTCAAAACTGAGTGTTTCACTTGTGAATACGCGTTTGGAATGCTCTAAATCAATCGAACATCATATTTCGTTTTTCCTGTCTCTTTGAGAGTTGATGACGAGTATTTCAGATCGGATGCATCCGATGATAGCTGGGCTGATCACTGGGATGAGACATGTAAATGAGATCTGAAGGAATGTTAGAGGATAGGATTCGATTGATGTGAAGGTAGTTTTAAGATGCTGAGACAAGTGAAGAATAGGGAATGGTGAGGTCACATGGCTAGTTGATCCAATTTAAGATGTGATCGTTTTGAAAAAGTTGACTGAGTTGGTGTGATGTGATCATCTTTGAGGTTGATGGAAATTAAATTAAATATTAGACTCTTAAGATACATAGATACTTAGCAGCTCACACTACAATCGATTCCTTTCAAGTGAGCTTCAGAAATCAACTCAAACCGTTAATCAGCAATCCTCACTTTACTTTAGAAACCACTTTCAATCTACTTCACTTTTACTTTGAATGAACAAGAACCATCAATCCGAAATGAATTCTGCTCCCAACAGCAACAATAACTCTAAGAGCACAACACAGCAAGATCCAGAAGAACTTTATGTTAGACAAGATAGAATCGGGAAAGGTAGCTTTGGTGAAGTCTTCAAAGGTTTTGATAAGCGAACTCGCAAACCAGGTTAACTTTTTTCCACCTTTCTCTTTAAAACATCAAGTATTTACCGAAGCATACGTTTTCTTTCCTCTTCACGACAGTTGCCATCAAAGTTATCGATCTAGAGAGCGCAGAAGATGAAATTGAAGACATTCAACAAGAGATAGCTATCCTCAGTCAATTGGACTCGTGTTTCGTGACCAGGTAAGAAACTCTTTTCTCCAACTTAACATCATCATTGACTCAAGAATTCACAACCAATTAGGTACCATGGCTCTTATCTCAAGGGTACCAGTCTCTGGATCATCATGGAGTATTGCAGTGGCGGAAGTTGTAGTGATCTGGTCAGATACCCTTCTGATCATGCACATTCTCTTATCATTTACCTACATTCACTGACACGCGCATACTCGATATTTATCTGGTCGTTATTACTCTTGACCTCACACCATCACCCGTCAAAATTCATTTTCTTCCGCTGGGAACCTCCAGATGAAACCTGGCGTATTTCGCGAGGAGTATATCGCCATTGTACTCAAGGAATTGCTAAAGGGATTAGACTATCTCCACAACGAAGGCAAATTACATCGTGACATCAAGGCTGCCAATGTGCTCTTGAGCTCAACAGGAGAAGTCAAGCTTGCCGATTTTGGGGTTAGTGGGCAATTGACAGCTACGATGACAAAGAAGAATACATTTGTCGGGACACCTTACTGGGTTTGTTTGAAACTTCTTTCTCTCGTAATCACCGAATCTGGCTTCCATCTCTTATGCCATGATCCTTCTTGCTACTAGATGTCTCCTGAGGTCATAAAGCAATCGGGATACGATTTCAAAGCCGATATCTGGTCCCTTGGAATCACTGCGATCGAACTTGCAAAAGGAGAACCGCCGTATGCTGACCTACATCCGATGAAGGTGCTGTTTTTGATTCCGAAAAATCCACCACCGGTGTTAGAGGGTCCGGAGTATAGCAAGAATTTCAAAGATTTCATTGGCGAGTGTTTGAAGCGAGATCCGAATGCTCGACCGACCGCCAAGGAGCTACTGAAACATAAATTCATCAAGAATTCCAAAAAGACCAGTTATCTCACCGAGCTTATCGAAAGGTTGGAAAGATGGAAGATTGAAGGAGGCTACAATTCTAAGACTGCAGGGAATGCTGCTGATCACGACTACAACTACGGAAATGATGATCATTCTGGATCAACCAACGATATGTGGGATTTTGGTACAGTCAAAAAGGGTACAACAAGGCGAGTGATACCCAATAGTACAGGATCGCCTCGCAAGCCTTCAGCACCAACTTCTAGTCGAGCTCCCATTCCATCCTCCACGAAGCCAAAAGACAAAGCCAAACAAAAAGCCCCGAACACCACCGATCCGATGACCAAGAAAGTCTCCCCAGGGGTTGTTCCTCGAGACTATGCCGCTGAGCCCAAATTTGATACGGTGCGACATACCTCCGTTTCACCACATCCACCTTACACCAGCGAATCGCGTCACTCACGTCCAGATGGCCCCAGTGGCTCGAAGCGATCCCCGAATCAACACAAGAAGAAAATTTCTCCGGGCTCTGACAGCTCATCTCCCAAGGAGGAGCGAAGGAAATCACAGTCCAGTCAAGCGATGATGGCCAATGGTGCACATCTACCGCCTTCCAGCTCTATGAATAGAGTACACAGCCATAGTAATACAAACAACCGGAGCTCCAGCGATCGGAAAACCAACAAGGAAAATGTGAACAGTCATCAACAACAAAGCTTTGCGGCTCAGATTGGTTCGGGTAAAGGGAGCGTTCGAGCCAAGTCATTTTCGCTCCATCACGAGTCTCTCCATTCTCAACCAAGCTCCCGCAACGGTCATGGTCGACAAGGTACGGAGGTCGAGGCTGCCTACAATAGGAAGCCAGGTGTATCATCCAAGGTTGAATCGCGAAGCCAAAGCACCAAGTCTGGTCAGAAAGACCGCGCAATCGAAGATGTGTCACGAAACCAACCCCCGAAGAGTCGACAATCGGCATCTGTCGAGTTAGAAGAGGAGGAGGATCAGGAGGAGGTCGGGGATGAAGATGAAGAAAGCTTAGGAGAGATTTTGGACACCGTTGTGATCCCGGTGCTACAGTCTGTTAGTACTCCATTTGTCTTATCATTTTCTCAAGTGCAAGTTGCTTATGATGATGTTCTCCCTAGATCCGGAGTCGTATCATTGGTAATGCAGCAGCAGTTGAAGCTATTGATCGATTTCAGCTTGCGATTGAGAAAGCTGAGAGTGAAGTTCCAGGCCTTTTGAATGTGTTCGTGTCCGAAGTTGTGGACTCAGTCGAACAAGTGGATAATGACGTCGAGTAATGGACTTGATGATCACGCTGCTATTCTCCAGTGTTATTTCTCATACGATCTCGGATTGAATCAGTATAACCTTTAAGACTCTATCATTTTAATCTTCTCAAGAATGCAAACCCTGCTCTATGCTTCTATCTCTGTGCATTGAAATTGACATATGTTGGTGTAAATGTATCATTTTTTTGTTTTGTGATTTTTTTGTTATAGATGTAGAGCTCATGATAAGTAAGAATGTATGGTTAAAGTAGTAGTTAAATCATAATGTTTTCTTTTTTTGTAATCCAACCTTATCTGTTCTTTATCACTATTACTCTTGCAATATCTTTTTGCCTGTATATAAAAACCATCAATTTTTAATATGATCAATCTTTACAAAACAAAACGTCTGTACAACCCTTTTCTCTTCATCTTCCTGGTCTTTTTCATCAAAAACCTCGGGAGTTGTTTTGTGTACATATGAGAATGTCTTATGATACATACTATTTTTTGCATGAGATCTGGTGATTGCGTCTGTGAGTAACTGGAGATTATACGTGTCTACTGACCCGTTTTGAGACCTTGCACAGTGGAATTATTGGAAAGTTTTGAATGTCTGGTTCTAAATTTCCGTTAGATGTTATTTGAAGTGCAACTAATATTGTGATGAGAGAGTCGATACTTACCGTGACCGATTGCCCGACATCAAAGAGGACCAGTCGGAGTAAGCTGTATATGACGTCATCCTGTATGCCTTAGTAGCTCAGTGGTAGAGCGTTTGCCTAGTATGGCAGCAAAAGGTCCAGTGTTCGACTCACTGTTGAGGCATTACTTTTTGCATTTTTGGGTGTTGTCCCTTTGCATTTTGTATACAAGAATATGGCAGTTGTGTATGAAAAGCTCAAGCTTCAAGTTACATTTTCTTATGAAGTTTGATTCTGTGGTATATACATTACACGTCAGCTTTGGCTCATTTTTGAGGTGTGTCATTTTACTGAGTAATTTTGTGCATCTTTTAAGAAGTTGCAAGTAATTATAGAGCGCCTCAACTGATTGGATGGTAGTTTGGACAACCTTCACAAAACCAGACAAAGGTAAGAAGACTGGGATATGTCGAATGGAAGATTTTTTTTGGAAATTTCCAGCAGTTGGAACGAAGCGTTTCCAAGTTGAAAAAATATAAATGTTAAATGGAATATAGCTTTCGATTAATCAAGTTCAAGGATGCCTCTGATCTCACTCAGCGAGCCTGAGGTAAAAACAATGATCAAGAAACAAACTCATAAAATCTTTAAATCTTCATGGATCTTACCATACACCAGAAATGTCTAATTCTTTTTGCTCAATTGATGATCCATTTTTATCTTCGTGGTGCTTCCTTCTCATACATAGCAATCTCTCGAAACCAAAAAAAAAGAAAACTGTTCATGAATCACAGGTGGGTATTTCTTTTGAGTAAAGCTTCAGACAACTCTCTTAGCTCTAGAGTCTTCCTTTCAGACTATAGGTTGGTTTCTGCATTGGATGTGTAAAATAATGAGATGCAGGGAATAAAAATCGACAGTTTTGTCTTGCTGCCATGATCCAGGTAAATACAAATGGGAAGCTCTGGAATTCGCATTGACAAAGAACAAAGATCAAGAACAGCGCAAAAAACACATAGAGAGAGAAGTAAGGCCACAAAGTTTGATCTAGGAGGTCTTTCACGACTCAGTCTTCACTCTTTGTTGTACATGAGAAGTGCGAAAGATATCGGAAATTCTGAGCCAGGCCAAAGGATGCGGCTAAATGATAAATCAGCCAGAATCAAACCTCCCATTCCAATCCGTTTTTTTGTTTCCTGTGTCATAGCCTATAGGTGAAGTTTGATGTCCTCGGTACTTTGGATTCTCCAATAAATCTTCTTAAAGCACCAGAAAGCACCCCGACTTGATAAACAAATATATAGATGGCATCACACGACCGATGAAGGTTGAACTACTCATACGAGCAAGGCATGTTGCACAAACTGGCTAGAAACACTTGATTTGAGTTCAAACCGACCAAGATATTTCAAATCTAACATGATTATGACAAAATACTTTTTCCCGTTTCCATTCTCCTGTCTCAGTTTCATTCCTCGAATGCTGATTTTCTGGAAAAAACATTTCTAAGGCAGACTTAAAGTTTCATCGCGTGAAACCTAAGCTCAACTTTAAAACGCTGGTAAAGTCTGATATCAAAGATAACTAGCTTTACATAATGTTATTGTTGAACAGGGATGAGGTCAGCTAGCGTCTGACATTGGTGAAATCATAATACCAAATTACTCTCCCGACTCTCTCCCTTACAATTCGAGGGGAATGGTCTAATCTTAGGGGTATGTAGTGCGAACACGGTGGTGGTGTCCACAGCTTGATGCGGCTTATCATCCATGACCGCACCCCAGGAACGAGTATAAGTACTGCGGACAGAGGGATGATTATCCTCCATCCACATCACTCAGCTTCTTTTGCTTCGACTTCATCATTACTCAGTAAAACTCTCCTTAATTAGACGCTCTTTTTACAAGCATACCATCAATCAATTAAACACTTTTGCTCAAGTCATAAAATCACTTCAACGTAAACCTCATAATCTATTCAAGCAAACATCTTTATAAGATCAAAATGAGATTCTTCTTAGCTTGTGTTTTGTTACTTTCACCTATCCTCGTGATGGGTGTGGATGTTGAGGCTCTCACTAAAATATTGAATGATAACCCAGATGCATTCACCTTTGTGTACGAGGACAATTCAGACGCAATCACCGGTTGGATACAGGCTGGTGGACCAGAAAGTGGATCGGGTATGTGCTTTGATCAACTCCTTGACGAGTAATCTGGTCTTTTCGAAACTCTAACACCTGTCCAATACTAATTCTTGTACTCTATTGCGTTCAATCACAGAATATGACGCAGTTGAAAGCGTCTTTAAACTAAGAGCTGCTGGTAGAAACGGAGTAGATGCTGCTAACGTAGCGTATTGGATTGCGAGAGATATGGAGAACATTGGGCACTGAGTCTGTACTATATATCAAGTCTTTGGCCATCCGAGAAATTATGTGAATTGGGAATGAATATTTTTCAAGATGTCAATCTAAATTCATCAAATATTATATTACAATCAAATCAAGTTTGACCTATCATCACTTTTCTCAGTTTGTGTGCAGTCTTCAGATGTAATTCCAATTTCACTTGTGATTTCAACTCAATAATCATTTGATTTCTCAAGGGCTTTTGTGAGGATAAAGCTTAAGCCAAAGATATAGCTCTTGCCATTGGGGACATCTGGTCCACATGTTGCGCTATGATCAAGAATACACATTTCTCAACTTTCAAAAATGCAAATTTTCTCAAAAAAGCACTCAAGTGAACACGGCCTTAAGCTCAACCTTAAAATGATGGTATGTAAAGGATGATATCAAAGATAGCTAGCTTTATATTTTTTTATTGTTTAACTGGGATGAGGTCAGCTAGCGTCTGAAATTGATGAAGAATTTTCACGGTGGATTGATTTCCTGAGTCTCTCCCTTACAATTTGAGGGGCATGGTCTCATCTTGAGGGTATGTAGTGCGCACACCGTGTTGCTGCCCACAGCTTGACACGACTTATTCGCAAGAATTTGACATCTTTGTGTCTTTATTGCAGCAAAAAAACACAATTATAGATTTCAAACAACTAAAACAAGAAATCAACAACACAAATGAAAACATCATAAAATATAAATGTAAACTTTAAGCAGTACCTAAAACAAGATCAACACCACTGAGAACTCGGTGATTTTAATCAACTTTTAGGACTAATGAATGATCCCTACTTATGTCTACAATGAGAAATGTTAATACATATGTTTTATATTCTTTTTATAATCAACCATTGAATAATCTAATTACCTGATAACACAAGATAGGTAGCAAACTCCTCCTGCAGTCAGTTACTATCAACAAGACTATTTTTCATGGTGATCTTGTAGTTGTTATGTTCTTAAGATATCTGAATTCAATGGTTATAATATAGAGGAAAAGTTGAAAGAAAGAATTTAGAATTATTGAGTGAAAGAAAATCTGGGCACATCCACACAAAATAGAAACCATTACATTTCATATTGAAAACAAATAGGAGCTTAGAGAGAGAAACACATGAGAGAAACTTGATGCTTTGAGCAATTACCAATTGTACCTAATCCATACTCTACTCTTCTTGACATCCTTTGACATATGTTCTTTTCATCATATTTGGTATAATTTTCAACACACAACACTCCTCCTAAATCATGCCTGAATAAGTTGTAATTGGTTCATAGCCTTCTCATGTTTAAATCTATGTACCTAATGGTTTGGTTAATACATCAGCAATCAAATCATGAGTTGATACTTGTTCCATGCTTAACAAGGTTTGTGAAATAAGATTTTGTAAGTCTCAATACTGTACTTCAATGTGTTTTGAGTTAGGGTTTGGTTGAGCCTCTTTGCTAATCATTACCACTCCTGAATGGTTGTTATGTATTTTGATGTTCAATGGTGGTAGATATCTTAAAGCTCACTTGATTTGGTGTAACAGAACACCTGAAAAAAAACTTGACCCATGAGGTGGGGTGCCCATGAGAGTCTCAATCTTATACCACAAAAATACACAGAGTTGAGTCAACCATAGCTTATGTAAAGCATTCAGAACCAACCACAGCCAGATGTAGAAGTACAATTGATGGGAAACACAGCAGCAGATATGGGGCAAAAATATATAGCCCGTGTCATAAGAGACACATTTTGGGGAGTATCCTGGCTGTTATGAAATAAAATAAGATGATATATGTATCAAATTCAAAACTTGACCATTTTCCACTGGGATTGCGGTATCCGCACCTCCCCCCCCTTAGTAACCGTACCTCCCCCCCCACTTAGCAGGCCTTAAGATACCCCTAACAACCTGTATGTATATTTGAATTTAAGGAAGGATTCAACCTGGTCTGGAAGCTACTTTTTTGAAAACCTCTCAACACCTACATCAGCTCAGTTCATCATTGCTCGTCCAACCTCTTCAGCCTTCTGGCATGGATCTCAATCTTTCAATGCTCTACCCCTCACTCCAGGATGCTGAAGATTCCCTGCGAGAATACACAAAGAGCCACGGATACTGGTTGAAAATCACTCGGACCATCTTTGCACAGAAAGGCAAGGGGCCAGCAAGGAAGAGGGTATTTGCCTGTGCTCATGGAGGTCAACCTAGAACAACTGATTCCGATGTACGCACAACCTCCACCCGCCTCCTGGGATGTTTGTGGTCTGCTCAGGCTCTACGCGACACAACTACACATCAATGGACACTTAAGATCACAAATAATGAACACCAAAACCACGAACCTTCTAAGAACTTTGAAGAAATCCCAGCCGCGAGGAGACTCACAAAGGAGCAGGCTACTGAGGTCATTCAATTGGCAAAGGCAGGCGCCGCCTCCCGAGTTATCTTGAGTACCCTTAAAGATTCAGATCCAAACAATATATCAACACCTCAAGACATTTACAATGTAGTTAAGAAACATCGTATTGAACATTTGGATGGACGTTCATCACTTGAAACTCTACTCGATGAGCTGAAGGATGAAGGTGTTTTCCACGCATACCAACTTGATTCAGACCACTTGTTACGTCGCCTTTTCTTGGTTCCAAATGTGTGTGCATCCTCTGCTCAGGATCTCTGGACTGGTGATGTATTACTGATGGACTCGACTTACAAAACCAATCGGTATTTACCATCTCTGAGTTGACTGCAATTCAACACTATTTAGGCTGATGTGGTTTATTCTGTGTCAGGTTCAATATGCCTCTATTACACATAATGGGGGTCTCTTCAACCCACAAGTCCGTCTCGCTAGCTTTTGGTTTCATGCGTCAAGAGACAGAGGAAGATTACACTTGGATTTTAGAGCAGATGAAGGCCTTCTGGGCTCAAAGATACTACAGATAAGTGCTGTTGTGACTGATCGAGAGTTAGCCTTGATGAATAGTTTGCATCGGGTGCTCCCACATTCGCACCACCTACTCTGCAAGTGGCATATCGAAAAAAACATACAAACAAACATCAAAAAATACTTTACCGACGAAGAATGGAAGAAATTCAAGGCGAAGTGGAACCAAATATGCGACTCTCTTTCCCCTGAGATTTTCAATCAGAATATCAACACACTCAGTACACAGATTCACACAAGAGCCTTCGATTACATCACAAAGACTTGGGTTATACACAAGGAAAAATTTGTCCTCGCTTGGACAAAGGATATCAAACACTTTGGGCATACTGTCACCTCTCGCGTGGAAAGAGGACATGCCTCAATTAAACAATGGGTTTTGATGTCAACTGGAGATCTGGCTACAGTGTACCAAAAGTTAGTTTTACTTTGTCAACAACAGCGAAACAAAGTAACTTGGAAAACGAAATATGACCGCACTCATATCTTAAATCGATTGAAAGGTAATATCTGGAGTGAGGTAAATCGAAAGATCTCACACTACGCATTGCTTCAGGTGTGTTTCCATTTGCTTTTCCCTGTCACTTGTTATTCTGGAGTTTGTATAACTAATCTGTCCCTCTGCTCAGGTATATCAACAGTACAGACAAGCACTGTCGTTGAAAAACGACTCGATCTGCACACATGTAGTTTCGGGATCGAAGGGTTTACCCTGTGCACACTTTATAAAGGAGCTCATTGGATCAAGCAAAAAGCTTCTGGTTCAACACTTTGACATTCATTGGCGACTTGAATATACTGTACCACCTATTGAACCACTCCAGGACATCAAGATTGACACCATGCTCAAGAACATTCAAACCCAATATGTGACTTTACCAGCGAACCGACAAGCAGTCTTAAAGAATCAACTTGCACTGATACTATCTAATCCGACTCCATCAGTCAGTGATCCGGTTCCAATTCGTTCTCGTGGCCGACCAGTTGGTGCTTTAAACAAATCCAAGCAAGATCGAAGCGCATTTGAACATCAAGAAGCCCAAGAAACCGCACCCCAATGTAGCCAATGTCATCAAACAGGTCATAACAAACGGACCTGTCGAATGTGACCCAGTGATATGGAAAGTTCATCTCAGTTCAATTTGTGGATCATCAATGTACATTTTCAGATAGATCTAATTCCATGTGACCTGGTTTACAAAGCAATAAAGACCCCATAAAGACTTGTTCATAGATTACTTTCAAGATTCATTGAGAGACACATCCAAAGTCTGCAGGTGTAAGAACGATCACAAACAAAAGATATGTAACAAACTTTCTGGAAAACTGTTTATCGATTGTTCTGAAAATCGAGCGAGTGATGTGTGACAATGTGTGATGATGTGCACCAATGTGAAAACAAAAACAAACCAGAGAAACAAGATCTCAAAGGGTGCCAACGTCTGAATTGCTCTCAAATCACAACGGAGCGAGGAAAGGTGTGCAAAAGCGATCACACTCGCCTGCAAGGTCAAAGGATTGGAAAATTTGAAGATTAATTTCAAATATACATACAGGTTGTTAGGGGTATCTTAAGGCCTGCTAAGTGGGGGGGGAGGTACGGTTACTAAGGGGGGGGAGGTGCGGATACCGCAATCCTTTCCACTGGTATCATCACCGAACCAATGAATTCTTGTGATCAGGTTACTGTATCAGGAAAATAAATCTTAGCACTTTCTACAATGTTCTTCAGCTTCATCATCCATGCTTAACTATGGGTACAACTAAATACTCTGGGCACTTGGCCTGCATGGGTTTCACTTATTAACAAGCTAACACCAGCTACCTTTGAGGAAAAAAGGAATTATTAGCGCTTGTTGACAATCAAACAGACAGGATGAAACAAACAAGTATAACTTTGACATAAAATAGGGTTTTCAACAATACCTTCAGTATGAACTGTTGCAAAGGACATGATATAAGTTTTGTGGCCTCAAGGATGATGAATGTCATTGGTTCCACATGGACATAATGATACCCAATAAAGTGGAAAGTGATTTAAAATATTGCATGTTATGTTCTTCTGATAACTGGACTCAACCCGGCTGTATAAAGGGAAAAATGACAACAGGGGGCACCTTCTTTCTTCCAAGTGAAGTCTTTGGTTCTCTCTGCATGATCTTTTTCTTTTCCACACCTACATTTCATCTGTGTGAGTGTATCAGACTCCAATTCTTTGGTAAGATGCAGAGCCTTCTCAGCAAGTGGAAGATTCATAAGATTTCAATCTTCTAGTTGAAGCTCTTCCTGATTTGTCCATTGAACCAATCTGCCAGTTAGCAAGCAACAATTTTTAATCAAGCAGTGTCTTATCATGGTCCCTTTTGTGAGTTTTGATCTGCAGAGCTGGCCTGGCTTAAACCACTAGATCTTGTAGAAACGTAGCAGGATTCTACCATGTCTTTGAAAGTCAGATCACAATACATAGAATCATACAATTTGAGGTAAGTCACAAAATCACTTTATGGTTTGTTACAGATCAAGTGGTATGGGTTCAATTTCTCAATGCAGCAATACTTTTCATTGATATTGCTGCACAGTGACCCATAGGACAGCATAGTACATTAGGTAAGATCAGGTTGGGCATTATATAATTGAACAAGTTAATTGCAATATCACTTCAGCATGCTTGACTTATTCCTTGGCTAGTAAAACTACAGGTTCCTGGCTCAGATCCAGGTCTGATCATGAGGGGCTTCAAGTCAAAAAAAATATGGCTCTGGCCTTAATTTCCTTTGACAGATTTTTGAGCACATTCTGAGATTATTTCACACTTTACTTGTAGATTTTATGAATCCAGCATATTTTTTATTCAATCTGGATTTGTGACAGACTTGTTGATTACACATAGTATTACACACTTTATCAAAGGGTACCTTTACTTCCAAAGCAATGCTTGACTCGGGATGGTACCTACCCTCTGATTGACAAGCCCCTTCCCTCCAACTTTGACTCGAGTTTGACAAATGCTTCTTCACATCATCAGTTGTCGTATTTCCAATTTTTTTGTGTTAAATACAACTGTAAACATTTTTACAAGACATGGATCTCCCATCTATGATATGATTTCATGCTCGAGTCACTGCGGATACATGATGATCCGTTTGGCGTCGCGTCCAACATGGTTCACGAGAATACATATGACGGTCTGTATTGGTGACAGAGATTGATTTCAACGCGTGTTGAAATTTGATTGAGGTTGATTTTCTAAAAAAACTCAGACTCCATCACTCATCCATTCACCTTGCATCTCATTCATCCCATCTCATTCTGCTCTCTTGCAATACATTATACCTTATCAACGATCCTTCTCTCGCTACAAACATCATGTCCACCCCTTCTCCTTCACCTCGCAAGTCCCTACGTACCTCTCAAACCGAATCTAGTCTGAAACGAAAATCTGACGCATCAAGACAAACCAAGGTCACAGACGAAAATGAGGATGTAAAAGTCGACAAGACCAAGGTTTGTAGCACCCACCATTTTCTCCAGCACGACTTGTGGAGTTCCAAGACGAGCGCTGATGAAATGTTATCAAGGTTGCGAAGTCGGATTCCAAGACATCAGTTCGAATGCAGGCAGACACGTCCCACATACGGGTTGTTGTCCCAGCTAGTAAGGGAAAAGCCAAGAAGGAGACGCCTTCGAATCTTCCCAAGAAAGCGCTTCCTCGAAGGACCAGCAAAGTGGTCGTACTAGATAGCGACGACGATGATGCTGACGTCCATCTCAGCGAGGCTTCAGACGCCGTGTCTAGCGAAGGTCAGTCATATTTACGAGCTCTTCTGCTCCAGGCGTTGCTTCTGACAATGGGTATCATTTGCATAGAAGAAGAAGTGATCCCTATCAGAAAAAAGGTAAGTCTCGCCAATTCCAAATCAGCATGGCGTCGTCTGATCGAGATTCCACTTTCAGTCTACGGCAAAAGCGAGTAACACCTTGGGCAACTTCATCGGCAAAGATGTTTCAGTGCGTCGCTTCCTCACTGTTTAGGTTCTACTCGCTCGCGATCTGATCCTATGAACTATCTTCCAGGTACTACCCAAGACCAAGGCTAGCAAGATCGGTGGCCCTTCAAAGAAAGAAAAAGAAGTTATCGATGAAACTACCCTCGCTCCTCTCACGGAGATTCCGGATATGTTCCAGGATATGGTACAGAACCGGCCCGAGTTTAAAAAAACTGTTGAACTGTTGGCTGGTCGTCCTCTACGCGTGGCCACCATGTGCTCGTGAGTTTACTATCTCTCACCCAGCCTGTTCAACAATGTCTGATTCACAAAACACCTATGCAGCGGCACCGAATCCCCTCTGCTTGCTCTCGACTTGATCTCTAAATCAGTAAAAGACCTCTGGGGGCTCGACTTTCGGGTTCAACACGTATTCTCATGTGAAATTGAACCGTTTAAGCAGGCTTACATTGAGCGAAACTTCCAACCTCCGATCCTGTTTCGTGATGTATGTGAACTTGGTCAAGAAAAAGCGACCACGGCATACGGTGCTCAAGTGACAGTACCGAATGACGTCGACATGCTTATTGCCGGCACTAGTTGTGTCGATTATTCAGGTCTTAACAATCGAAAAAAAGTAGAGAGCGCTTAATTAACACATGATGTGATCTTGTCCATACTGACCCTCCCTCTCTTGGTTGTTTGTAGTCTATTGATGCTGGGGGAGAGTCCGGTCGAACTTTCCATGGAATGCTTAAATGGGTTGAAAACTCGCGTCCTTCTGTGATCATATTGGAGAACGTATGCAACGCGCCATGGCCTAAAGTAAAGGAAAAATTCCACTCCATTGGATATGATGCCGAATTTTCACGGTGAATTACATAATTTCTGGGACTGTCTCTGTTTTCCCTGTGCCCGCCGAAGCTTACATGTCTCCTACCTCAGATTCGATACTAAACATTATTATATCCCACACACTCGTACTCGCGTCTATCTGATTGCGACCCCTCAAAAACTCCGGAGTTCCAGCGGTTCTCACATCCCGCAAAAGTGGCTCACGTTGGTTTCTCAAATGGCCAGACCTGCATCAGCACCCTTAGAAGCCTTTATGTATCATCAGGACGACCCTCTCGTCCATCGCGCCCGACAAGAATTAGCTTTTGTCAAAGCCAACAAAGATGGACAAGGAAGACAGGCGACTGACTGGACCCGTTGCGAAAGCCGACATGCTCGACAACGTGCCGAGGAACAACTCGGTGACAAGCGTCCCCTCACGGCGTGGCAAGATGGCCCTGTATGTAAGGTCATTGACGGTGGATGGAACGATTGGGCTAATGCACAAACAGAGCGTGTCGTGGATCTAATGGACATCAACACTCTGCGTGAAGTCAAAAACGGCTTCGATGTACAATACAAAACTACGATCTGGAATTTGAGTCAAAATGTTGATCGGATGAATGGCAGCGGCAAATTTGGTATCACCCCTTGTTTGACTCCTAATATGATTGCATATGTCACCAATCGAGGGGGTCCGCTTATTGGCCGAGAAGCTTTATCGCTGCAAGGCATTCCGATCAGTGGCCTACTACTCACCAAGGAATCAGAAGATCAGCTTGCTGATCTCGCCGGTAACGCGATGAGTACTACAGTTGTCGGTTCTGCAATGGTTGCTGCTTTGATTCTGACGATGCCCAAGGTCAAGAAGCAACTAGAAGGCGAGGACGTGGTCATGGAGGACGCCCGTATCGAAAGCTTACCTCACGCTACACCACACGATCTTTTGAAAGGCGACGAAGACCTCGTTTCTTCGCCTTTAAATCTTTCCAAGACGCTACCTGTGTCGCCTGGTTTCTTCGAGCGGGCAACGTGTAGCGCTCGCCTCTGTATCTGTGAGGGTCGCTCCGGAATTGCGGCCGCGAAAATCCAATGTTGCCAAGCTTGTGGCTATACTTCCTGCCAGTCATGTGGTGGCCGTCCCCGCCACAACTACGAGACACGAAACGAGGAGCGTTTAAACCCCGCCACATTCGAGCGAGAACTCAAAGATATCCTTCCTATGCGATTATCCCTCCAAGGCTTGGATAAATCATTCCTATCTCAACTCAGCGTGCAAGCTAAGGAAGCTGGTATCAAAGTGGACGCCGCCGAGTGGACAATCATTCGCGAAGCTATCTTGGAGGCTGTAGAGGGCGTGGAATTTCACTTTAGATCACTTAAACGTCAACAGATTTGGGTTGTCAACTTTGATGCGCCAAAGGCCACTCTCGAATTGCGATTGGACCCTTGTCATCCAGAGTGGCGGTTGAGCGTCAAGGCTGACAAGTCAGCGCCAATCAAGTCGCCTCATCGACTTTTACTCAACACCCCTGTAGCACGCTTGCGGATTGACCAGAAGACTGACGATCTCATCTCTGGATCGTGGAACGTGCGGCTGCCTGTCAACCAGTCATTTGATTTCAAGTTCGAAGGCACAGGATCCTTGGTTCCCGGTTGGCGCAAAGAGATGGGTTTGACTGACGAGAATGCTAGATCTGAAGAATGGTGGTCAGAATGGACCGTAACAACACCCCAATCTGCCGAGAAGTACTTGGATCGTGCATTAGATGGTGTCTGGAAATTACACTCTGATTGCGGTACGGCTCAGAACATGTTGCACCGGAAAGTAGAAACTGAAGCCGATCAAGGCTTACCTCCACTTTATCTAATGCTTGATCCAACTCGTAGTGGGGAGCCTGAGAACGACTATGCTGTTTTCACCATTCAACACTCTCGTTTGGACTATGGTGTCGTCCGTCCGACTATAGCTCGGCTGGATGCTAAATGGAGGCCGAGCTCCAAGAAAACCGTCACGGTCACATGTCATGTATCGGATAAATGGTTCAGCGCACCCACCCTCTCGCTCAGCACCGAATTACATACCGAGGCCAAGGCGTCAGCTGATACTAAAGATGGCGTGTTTTCCATACCTAAAGATGGCGTATCAGTCAAACTTGACGATGTAGCTTGCCAAAAGGCAAATGTAGTCGTTGCTTGTAAAGTACCTCTACCCACGAAACAAATTGATCCAGTATGGGGTACTGGTGATTGGAGGAATATCGACATTCCTCATCAAGGTGAAAGCGTATTTCAAAGCTTAGCTTGGATTACTGAAAGAGTCCCTCCACCGGAATCACTATGCAAATGGTCAACCCTTTCAGCTGGAGAACAATGTTCTCCTAATTGCCAACGATGTGCGCCATCGGAACCGGTCGTCAAGTGGGTTGTCAAACAACAGAAGACGAAGTCAACCTTGGTGCCTCACGAAGACATGGTTGAAGCAGGACGATACGAGCAAGCGTTGAAAAATCGACCCGCGCCCTTCATAACTCAACTCCGACTTGTCGATGGATGCGGTGAATTCCGCATCGGTATCAACTTTGCGACCTTGGTACATCGAGCGATCTCACGATTCCCAACCACAGCCAACAGTGGTGATATCATTCCTTCTTGGCGGGTCACCTTTGGCCATGGCTCTAATGCCGGGTCTTTACTTAGACCCAAATTCAACTTTAGTCTCTCGAGTAACAAGAAAGATGAGGCTGCTCCTCAACCTCCTCATTTCAGAACACTTCTCAGACCTGAGCAACTCAGATCTCTATCTTGGATGTTAAAGCAAGAAAAAGTTGGTGATGATGTGACACATACATTTATAGAGGAAGAAATTTCAGAAGCCTCGCTGGAACCGCTTGGGTGGCGCGCCGAAGGCAAGGCCGAACGCCCCGTTTTAATCAGGGGAGGTGTACTCGCCGACGAAGTCGGGTACGGTAAGACGGCCATCACCATAGGTTTAATTGACGCGACTCTTAAGGACCCTCTTCCCCCGGTACCGAAACCTCACCTCAAAGGTTTTGTACAATTGAAAGCAACTTTAATCATCGTTCCTGCCCATCTTTCAGGTCAATGGCCTAAAGAGTTTACGAAGTTCACTGGCTCAAATAAGATCAAAGTCCACCGAATTATTAACATGACTGACCTGAACTCCACCAAAATTTGTGATCTGCAGGAGGCCGACGTAGTCGTAGTCTCTGAAACTATCTTTGGAAGTCAGATATATTGGAGCAATTTAGCCATGTTGGCCGGGACGAGAGACATTGTCAGCGACGAGAAAGGAGGAAGATTTTTCAAAGCCTGTTTACATGACACGTTGAAAAAGTTGCGTAAACACGTAGAGATCTTGAAATCCAAAGCTGGCGGCTCTAGCGCTTTACATCAGGCCATGCAGGACGCCCAAAACGACTTGGCAAACATGAAGAATACCAAACAAGTTCAATCTACTCGTCTCAAAGGAGCAGCTTATGCCAAGAAGCACGCCTCAGAAACCGCTGAGAGTGGTGACGAGGAAGAAGAGGAGGAAGAGGAAGAGGAAGAAGATTCTGACGATTCTGATGATAGGCCTGCTAAGAAAGCTAAGGTGGGTACGGCTAAGTCACAAGCTATAAGATCCAAGGTACAGACGGGTGATGCTTGGAAGCTGAAGACCGCTGCTAAGGACGATTGGACCCAGATGCACTGCCCTCCTCTGCATATGTTCTAGTAAGTCGTCTTCACTCCGATCTCAGTCCGGTTATCCCAAGCTGATCCAAACCTGAATTTAGTTGGAATCGCAGAACGATTGATGAATATACTTATTTGAGTGGACGCGAGCAGTTAGCTGTGGGAACCATCCATTCATGGAGTACTTGGATTCTATCTGGTACACCCCCTGTAGCCAACTTTACAGAAATTAAATCGTAAGCACTCATCAACTTTCACATCCATCTTTTTCATTCTCTCAAAGCTCACGTAAACCCATTCTATTGTGTAGTATCGCTCGTCTCCTTCACGTTCATCTTGGTATTGATGATGACGGGGAGGGTACGAAAGAAATTGCCAAGGCATTTACCAAGCAACAAACTGCCGCTGAACAGTTTCACTCCTTTAGAGAAATTCGGTCCACAGCTTGGCATCACCGTCGAGACGAAGTAGCTCAAGCCTTCCTTGATCGATTTGTAAGACAAAATGTCGCTGAAATTGATGAGATTCCATATGAAGAACGTATCGAACCGATAACCTTGCCTTCTGCTGAGCGAGCAATTTACTTGGAGCTGGATCATCACCTTCAGTCCTTTGATATGAACCTGTGAGTTGATTGATCAACATGGCCATTGATATCCAATAGCTGATCTGTTTTACCCTTTTCTGTTCTCAGAAAGAAAGTTTCGCGAACCAAAAAGACCAACAGCGGGATCGCTGACCGAGAAAAACGGCTAGCAGCAGCTTTAGGTGAAAGCAAGTCCGCTGAGGAAGCGCTGCTGAAAAGATGCTCTCATTTCACGTCAGACTTGGCTGCGACATCGCAAGCTCACGACGCAGAGAATGCAGGCGCAGCTTGTACCGTCATTCTTGATGAACGTACAAGGCAATTAGATGAATGTCTCGAGGAACTTCGAATCAAACTCAAGCAAGCTGCACTCCTCTATGTGCATACCAAGACGGCTGGACTCTATGAAAAGGATGAGAAACCACCGCCATTTGAGGAGTACATCAAGATGTCATTTGAATCGATTGGAGATGATGAAGCAAATCAACGATTACAGAAGATATTAGTCGAAGAAGGTTGTATAGTGAAAGGTGGTAAAGTTGTGGCTCCAAAGATTTCACTTCACGATGAAGATGTTGAAGAAGTCTTGACTCATGTGGACCCCAAATTAGCGATTGAGAAAGCGAAAGAACGCAAGAAATCAGATGCTAAAAAGGGTATCAAGACTAAGGCCGTTGAAGAGAAGGAGAGAAAGCTTTCAAAGGATGAAATTCTTCAAGCTCGGAAGTGGGCAGCTCGAGAGTTGATTCATGTGCTTCGTAAACTGAACAAGGAATTAGTCAATCGATTCCGATCCAAGAGGTACTTTACTATTGTGCGTGACGTACAACGTGATCACGTCTCCACCACGATCAAGAACGATGAAGGCATCGAAGAGCCAATGGCTATCCTCTCCACCTGTGGTCATCACGGACCTTTGAGCTTAGTAACGAAATCTGCATATGAACAAGAATGTTGTAAAAAAGTATCTTTAGGATGTAGTGCTCCTGCTCGAGATACCAGTGTGATTAGAGCTGATAGTTTAGGACACGATGAAGAATCTGGAAAGTTTGGAATCAAATTAGAACGACTATGTCACCTGATATCCAAATTACGTAGCACTGATAGAGTATTAGTCTTTGTTCAATTCAGCGATCTATTAGATAAAGTTTATGAAGCATTAGAACATAGAGATATTGGAGTAGCTAGAGTGAAAGGAACTGCAAGACAACAAATGCAAGTGATGACTGAATTCCAAGAAGAAGCTGATCCAGACATCAGAGTTTTGTTATTACATGCAACAGATTCGAGTGCAAGTGGTAAGTCGATGAATGGTGTTTATCAATCAAGCATTTTTGAAATGCAAACTGATAATTTTTTTTGGTTTTTGAATTCTAGGTGCTAATTTAACAAATGCGAATTACGCTTTCTTTGTATCACCATTATTCCTACCTACTCAAGATAAATTTAAAGCTTGTGAAACTCAAGCGATTGGTAGATTAAGAAGATATGGTCAAACTAAAAAAGTTCATGTCATCAGATTATTAACCACTGATACGATTGATACTCAGATTTATGGTCATCGACATCAAAAAACTCAAGATGAACTTAGATTAGAAATTGAAGCGGCTCGTAAAAAACAAATTCCATTTGTGATTCCATCTTGATTGTTTACATATGAAAAAATATCTTTTTACTTGTTTCATTTTTGTGTTTTCCTCCATTAATTCCATTCTTCATCTCTACTTTTTTAATTTTTATAATTTTACTTGGTTTAACTTTTAGGTTGTTATGAACTTGTTTAGAAACAAATTATGGGTCTTTTTGATAGATTTTTTTTTCATATGTAGAGTGTCTTTTTCCAGGGGAAAAAATGGAAATGGAGTTTATTGAAATCATGTTGATACTTTGATGAACTTGAATGGTTTTGTCACTAATTAAGTACACTTGAGGTTTCATAAACTCATGTATACATCATGTGTATACGAGATTTAAGTGTAGGCCGAAAATCAGTAAATCCAACTCTGCTTCGAAGTTCCGGGCGCGAGGTTGAGCGAGCAAGAGGGACTTTGAGCTAAAGTCCAAGTCTTCGGTCAGCAGCACATCCAACTCTTGATGGGGAAAACTTGTGCCAATACACTTTTCTTTGCTCACCAAAGCTCTCATCGCGCGCAGATTTGAACTCAGTAGCAATTCATTGAACAACAATGCTATTTGAGCTTATCATGTTCTTCCTTAATTATTTTGGGCACTCCCACTTGTGATAATTCAAACCATTTGGCGCAACAAAATTTTACGAGTTTTGATGCATTCAAATTTGATAAATATTCATTAATGGTGATTCATGATCTATGCTAATATCAGTTAACTAGAAAAAAATAAAATGTAATATGTAAGATGCCTATGCTCAACGGAAATATTCAATGATTCGATGCACTACATACTATATATACAACAAATCTATTCACATAAAAGTGTACTAACTATATTATTATATAAGACTACCAAGATTTTGGATGATGATCAGATTGTGTTTCGATTTGATTTAAAAAACTACCTGGTCTCACTTGTTTTTCATCATCATTCCAACTCTCTTCAATCAATTTCATGATACCTAAAACCGATTCTTCTTCCCATTTAGCTCCAACGATTTGAATTCCAATCGGTAAACCTTTCATTTGATTCACATCATATAAACTTTGATCAAGTTTGGTTTCTAATAAACTTGATTCTCTTTTGGTTTCGTGATTCTCGTCTTCGTCTTCGTCGGCGACGGTGGTGGTGTTGGTGGAATTCATTTGATCTTTTTCTAAACTCACTTTGGTGATTGGCATTTGTCCTACCGTGGAATCTACTACATTCCATAATAAAGTAGAGACCGCTAGCATTGCTTTGTTCCACTAAATCAATAAATACATATCGTCAGAATGAGATGCTGGTACATTTTCTTGGAAATTCAAATCCCTTTTTTAAATTAATCTCTCTCTAATCTTTCAGAGTGGTTTTACTTACAGTTGATCCAATTGGTACAGCTGGATAAGCTTGTGTAGGGCAAAGAACTCCATCCAATTTTTCATCCTCCCATAACTAAAAATCAATTCCATCATATTATCATCAGAACAGATCAAGAAAAGATTTAGTCTTCACAACTTCAAGTTTTAGGTTCAATAAAAACAGAAATAAATATTTTTTTCAAAAAAGAACCACTAACATATTTTCGTACTTTCTCCTCATAAGCTTTTTTCATCACTCTCCACTCTTGCATCTCTTTGGCTGATTTGATTCTACTAGCATTAACCAATCTAGCTATTTCAGTTTGACCCAATACATATCTACAAAAAGTAACCAAAACAAATCGGACGAATGAAGGAAGACGTGGTCCTAAGGTCGTCAAAAACATCGCAGGTTCACTATGATCCACAGAACCCAAAAAAGAAGAGCAAGGGAGGGATCAGAATTCGGAACTTGATCAAATCCAATTCGAAACAAATTAGATGATCATCAAATTGAAACTCAACCATGGATCTGGTCCGAGCTTAGACAACATGGTATGATACCCATCTGCGCTACTCAAGGCAACAAACAATTCAAGAGCCTGGAAGACTAAAATATGGACAGGCGCATTGTATAAGCTTAAGATACGAAAGATTGGGAGCCAACTCTTACCCCCACTCCAAGGGGTGGGGAGTCACCATGAAGCTTTCAAGAGGATGAGATTAAGTATGAGATGAGAGAATCACGTACCATCTATACGATCAACATTGATAGGTACACATTCATGTCCGCGATCTCTAAGACGTTCTACTGTTTCAAGTACTGCACGCTGACAAGGCGGACTAGCTTTGATAAGTTTATCTGAGAATCAAAATAAGAGGTTTGATCAGTCTTGAAGGAGTTTCCAAGAATTCATTAGAACCACTCACCATCAACAAAAAATCCTAATTTAAGTTTTCTAGGACTTGATTCAGAATCAGATGTAGGTGTTTCTAATGATTGATAACGAAGTAATCGATCAGATCGAAATTGAAGTGGAATTAAATCAAGTTTTCGTTTAAGATCTTCAGGTGTATCGATCATAACTTCCATAGCTAAGATTAAATCATCTACACATCTTGCCCTATATTGACAAAAACCAAAAATTAGAAAAAGGTTTTCAAGATGTGTAGAAAAGATGAATAGGGTTATTGGTTTTGACTGGAAATCAAACTAACATAGGACCCACAACTGATGAGATTTCATTAAAACCAGGATTAGCAGCACGTAAACCAGTTTGTGGAATCCGACCTGCACACTATATAAGCAAGAATGAGATCTACATTAGTCAAATAATTCATACGATTTCGAAAAGAAAACAGAACTGACTGGTTTAAGACTATAACATCCACTATAATGAGCAGGAATTCTTAAGCTACCACCTATATCAGAACTTTAAAAATATCCAAAATCAAATTGATCTTTTAGTAAAGTAAACTCAAGAATTAACCCAAAAGAGTTGGGTTTGGTTACTTACCCTATTCCAATACAAGAACCATCAGAAGCAAGTAAAGCAGCTTCACCACCTGAACTCCCACCACATGTAAACCCTTTTTTATGAGGATTTTGAGTAGTACCAAAGATTGGATTTGAGCATTCGAATGCTAGCATACTGTTTTTGTTCAAGAGGATTTCCAAAACAAGATATGATTAGATGAGGATCATTTGTCTGATGATGAAAGATTATCGAGTCTTTTTGAGATTGAACATACGTTTGAGGTACATTAGTTTTGACAAAGATAATAGCGCCTTCATTAATTAAATGTTGTACCAAATCAGCATTTCGATTGGCAGGTTGATTAATATACCTTGAAGGATCAATTCAAGATTAGTGATCTCATGATGAAAGAAATTCAAGATGTTAAATGTAAAAGAAAAGATGCTAACCTACTAAAGCCAATACTTGAATCTAATCCTTGAAGATCGATTTGATCTTTTAAACTGATTGGTATACCATGTAATCTACCTTTAATGATTCCAGTTCTTTCAAATTCTTCATCTAGTTTACTGGCTTGATCTAAAGCAGATTCAAACATGATTTCTGTCTAAAATCAAAAATAAAAAACATTTCGATTTCAATTTTCATTTCGATTTCGATTTCCATCAGAATGTGTGATATGTGATTTGTGATGTGATTGAGATTCAAATGTGAATTATAATTTTGTTTACCAAACAATTAGTTTCCACATGAGATCTGATGGCAGATTTAATGAAAGCTTTTAAAACATTAGTTGAATTCCACTGAGGACGACGTTGAGAGATATGTTGAACGATTAGGTTTGAAGGAGTGCTTAAGATTGTTCTTTCAAAGGTGGTGAATGAATTGAAAAAGTTATGATATTGATTTGAATTTAAAGGTTGAATGAGTTTGGAATGTCTTTCGAATTGTTTTTGTTGAGAGATTGATTGGAATTCATGAGAAGGTGAAATCAAATCGAATGGTAAGATTGAGATTAATGAAGATATCAAACTCATCTTTCCTACTAGAATGCTGAGACTCAGTATGGTAATCAGAATCAGAATCAGAATCGCAATCGATGATGATGACACTGATGATGATAGTTTGGTAAACAAGCTGTCAATGAAACTAAAATATCCAAAGTATACATAATCAATGACAACACCCATCATATTCAAACTTCATTTAGTCTAGACTCTAAATAGAATAAGTAGCATCAGACCCATGGCCTTTTAAATGCATTCAGGGTACCCTTTCAGTTGCTTCCGAGGCTGCGTAAAACAAGCCACCCAGTCATTTTTTCTTAAGTACATTCTTTTTACATGATAACTACAAGATCACTCAGAATTGAGACACTTCCGGCGAAAATCTACCCCGAGCACTTTCCAAAAATGCTTCCCGGCTTCCGAGCCACCCCCTTTCCGCCGGGGACCTTTATGTACGTCTTCGGACCGTCCCCCGCGGCCGAAAACTGGGGGCCTACCTAGTTTCCAGATCGCGGTGGCCTGGCAGACCTCGATGGTATACCAGATCATCAATTATGATAATATAACATTACAACATAAAAACATTCACCCTTTGCTTCGATTCAAGTTTATAGATTTCAATCAATACGAACAATTTTTATCTATCTCGATGAAGAACAGATGCATCTCACTTTTTTAGATTATTCATCATATCATCATAAAGGGTGGAGGAAGATGGTGTTAGATTTCATCCAAGTCTTTAGGATATAAAACCAAAACACTCGAAGATTTGAATCACTTTAAAATGCTTAAGCCAACATTTATCAATCCAAGCTTTATAAAACGTGGAAATGAAAATAAAAACCAATGACCGTTCAAAGAAGTGGAGCCAAAAACTTGAAAGCAAAAAAAAAAACTTAAAAACAGAATATGTCAAGCTGATCTTTCTAAATCAGACAGAGCTTGATCAATTCATTTCTCAGCCAGATGTTATGCAATCTGACGACGTTAGCGGAGGTGATTGTTTTCTCCTACTTACATATGCTCTCTTGATAGTCGCGAGCTGGAAGTGAGCGAGTTTCCGATTGCGACCTGTACTACAAGGTACTACATCCAAGGCTCAAGCCATCTTCCTATGTACATACAGGAAGGTGGCGTCTTGAGGATACTTTTCGCCCATCTGCCTTTTCGCCCACTTTCGCCGGATCTCAACGATAATCGAATTCTCTGGAATTGAGACACTTCCGGCGAAAATCTACCCCGAGCACTTTCCAAAAATGCTTCCCGGCTTCCGAGCCACCCCCTTTCCGCCGGGGACCTTTATGTACGTCTTCAGACCGTCCCCCGCGGCCGAAAACTGGGGGCCTACCTAGTTGTTGATTCCCCGTCGGTTCCCCGTTGAGTGTTAGAGCATCTCCAACGGTTTTGAACCGGTAAAATGCGTACAGGACCCACTGTAAATGTACAGTTGCCTGTATTGACCCTCAATAATTCGATTTGCTCCAACGCGCACATGAAGCAGAGCTTACAAACGTCGTACCCCTGCCAAAAACCCCAAAAAATCACATGTTTAATATCTCATTGTCTCTC